CCGTCCGGCCGCGGCCGGCGGCCCCCGGCCTGCACCGCTGCCTCCGCTTCGGAAAACTTCCTGGGCACGGCAGCTCTGAGGAGGTCCTCCCGGAGCCGCCAGCCTCCGGGCACCGGGTGGGATGGAGCCTCTCCACCTCCGGTCCGCAATCGCCAGACCAAAGGGAGGACTGCGCGCCCGCACGCGCGAGTGCTCGCAAGAAAAAGAAAACTCCAGAGGAGCACGCCTCCCGTCTGTCCTCCCCGTCTCCTCCAAAAGCTCAGACCTACTCCACTCTAGGGCGGCAAGAATGTTCCAACCTTCCAGCCCTTCTGGGCTGCAGCCACTATAAAGTACCAGGCTGCCGCCCCCTCCCCGGCCCTGAAGGGCTGGAGTCTTTTTAACTGTTTCCTTCCTGAAGCGAAGGTGGTGGTGAGAGGGCGGTAATGGAGGGATGTGGGTGATTTAACCGAGGAAACTCAGAACTTAGGGAGGCCTTGGAGAGGAACCCTTTCCTTCTCAGTAAGTGAGGGCAAATTCGATCTGGACGGAGCGACTGCAGACAGAGCCAGGGGCCAATCTTGGTTTCTCTGCGTTCCCTGCCTCTTTGCTTGGCTTCTGCGCTCCCTCTTAACCTTACAGCAAGTTAAAGAGCCAAGGTGGACAGCAGTTTACTGAATTAAGGACGTTTTGCTTCTATCTTGTCCCTTGAAGCCAGCACCCCAAGGCTACATACTACTGGCCCGGGGCAAAGCAGGAGCCCCTGGAGATTCTGTGGAAGGGTCCAGCGTGTGGCTTCTAGAAACGTTATGATTCCTCAAGAAATCCAAACAGGGAGAGTGCAGATGCTGCAGAAGATGGGCCTCAAGGCCTTTATATGATAGAGATTTCTATCCTAAATGGGGCCATGAGAGAGGAGATGAGGGATAAAGGCCATTGCCTGTGATATTTGAGAAAAAAAAATCGGGGGCTCCTTGAAAAGGAAATCCTAGTACACTGTTGGTGGGAAAACAAGTTGGTGTGGCCACTGTGGAAAACAGTATGGAGTTTCTTTTAAAACATCACCAATAGAACTACCCTACGTTCCAGCAATTTCATTCTTAGATATATATCCGAAGAAAATGAAATTTGAAAGGATACATACACCCCAGTATTCATAGCAGCATTATTTATAATAGTCAAGACGTGGAAGCAACCTAAATGTCCATAAACAGATGAATGAATATATATAAATGGTATACTACTCAGCCATGAAAAAAGAATGAAATTTTGCCATTTGCAACATGGATGGACTTGGAGGGTATTACACTGAGTTAAATAAGTCATATAAAGAAAGACAAGTACTGTGTGTTATCACTTACATGTGGAATCTAAAAAATAAAACAGACTAGTGAATATAACCAAAGAGAAACAGACTCACAGATATAAAGAACAAACTAGTGGTTACCAGTGGGGTGAGGGAAGGAGGGAGGGCCAAGATAGCGGTAGGAGATTAAGATATACAAACTACTATGTATAAAATAAATAAGCTACAAGGATGTATTATACCACACAGGTAATATAGCCAATATTTTATAATAACTATAAGTGGAGTATAATCTTTAAAAATTGTGAATCACTATGTTGTACACTTATATAATATTATAAATCAACTATATGTACCTCGATAAAAATTACAACATGAGAGAATATTTAATAATCTGAGTAAATGGTCAATATCAAGTAAAGAATCAAAATAAAACATTCTATAGAAAAAAGAGAACTCAGGGGCTCCACAGAGCAGGCCTGCCTGGGAGTCCTTCGGAGCACTGCTGATATGAGGCACATTGTGAAAATGTGAGTTTGGAGCAGTGGTCATGTTCTATTACAAACTGTTCTGATTATCAACTGCAGCTAAAGAAAATCACCCTAAAATGGTAGTGGTTTAATACAACCACATTCATGTACCTTACTCATCAATCTGCAATTTGGGCGGGGCTTGGCTGGGACAGCTCATCTTTGCTGGGGCTGAGGCTTCACTTCTGAGATAGTTCGCTTTCTTGCTAATGAGTGTTGGTTGTTCTCCATGTGTGTTTCCCTGCAAAGTGGCTTATGTTTCCTCACAGCATGGTGGCTGGGTTCCAAGGAGGAGTGTCCCAAGAGACAGGAAGGGGTAGCTGCCAGTTTCTTAAAGTCTGGGCCTAAGAACTGATACAGTCTCACTTCTGCAGAATTAGTAAAGCAGTCACAGATTCTGGGTTCAAGGTGAGGGAATATAGACTTTGCCCATCAGTGCAAGGCATGTCGAAGGACTTGAGGGGCATGCTGTAACACCATCAAAGAGATACAGAATACGGCCATTGAAAGGGACATTAATAGTCATCTAGTTCAACGGGACTAGGTATTACCCTGTGCATTCATCTGTTCCATCTACAGTTACCCCATGATGAAGAGTCAGTTAGCCAGAATAATTAATAGCTTTTATAAGTGCCTTAGTTTGCATTTTAAAAAGGTGCCCTTTCAGGCACATGGCTTGGCAAGCTGACATTGTTCTCAGGGAAGAAAAAGTTCTCCACCAAGTTTCAAACCTTGGCATGGGAAACATGGCTGGATTTTAGCCCATATTCACCCTGTGACCAGACACAGTTGGACAGTATACAACCTGCACAACTGAACATGTCAGTCTATTCAGTCTTTGGTAGAATACATCCATCAGCCACTACGTGCTGGGACAGCTCATCCTACTCATACTGTGGTGCAGGTCTAATTATTCAGAGTTCTTTCTTTACATTCATTAGGATGGCTATTATCAAAAAGCAGAAAGCAACATATGTTGGCAAAGATCTGGAGAAACTGGAACCCATGTGCATTGCTAGTGAGAATGTAAAATAGTGCAGCAGCTGTGGAAGAGTATGATAGTTCTTCAAAAAATTAAACTTAATATTCCTGTATGATCCAGTAATTCTGCTTCTGGGTATACAGCCCAAATAATTGAAAACAGGGACTTAAACAGATATTCATCCACCCATATTCACAGCAGCATTATTTACAGTAGCCAAAAGATGGAAACAACTCAAAAGTCCATGTATGGATAAATGGATGAATAAAATGTGGTGTATATACATGAAATGAAATAGTATTCAGCTGTAAAAAATGAAATTCTGGTACATGCTACAACATAGATCAAACTTGAAGATGTTAGGCTAAGTGATATGTGTGATGCAAAAGGACAGATAGTGTATGAGTCCACTTAGATGAAGTAGTTAGAATAGTAGTATCATAGAAACAGGAAGTAGAATTGTGGTTATCAGGGACTCAGGGGATGGAGGAATGAGGATTTATTGTTTAATGTGTTTCAGATTTTCAATTTGGGGTGATGAAATGTTCTAGAGATGGATGTTGGTGATGGTTGCACAACATAAATGTGCTTAATATCACAACCATATACTTAAAAATGGTTAAAATGATCAATTTATTTTATGTATATTTTACCATAATAAAAAAATTCTTCCTGACATTAAGATGAAATCTGCCTCCTTATATGATTACCTGCTGATCTGTCCTATAAATTCATAAAATACGTTTACCGTCTCTTCTGAGAAAGACCTTCAGATATACATAAATATGTTTATGTGGATCACCAGCATAAATCTGACTTTGTAAGACATTGGGATTGCCTCATTCTAGGTGAGAGCAACACGAACTTTCCTTAGTTGTCACAGATTTATTTCCTCATCTTCTCCACTTTACTTTGGGGAAAATGACTTGAAAGGATTTAAACCAGTTATCACTGAAATTAACTGCCTCCCCATAAATACTCCTCTCCCCAAAGCCAAGACTTAAAATACTTGACCCACTTCTATATTCCCTGCTTTGTACTTTTAATGAACATATATAATTCATATATTTGACTATGTTTTTCAACTCAACTTCCAAAGGATATTTCTTTTCCCTAGAAGTTAGGTTGGATGCAATCTGCAGATCTTCTGGGTTTCAGGGAGACTTTCTCACTCACACTTGACTTCTAGTTCAAGCAGCTCATTAAGTCAAGCATTACTGTGATGGCAGTTACAACGAATTTTCTCAGTGTCATATTATCATTATTGACGTACTGACCAATAATTGCTGAAGATTAAGAAATACTCAAGATAGCACTTAAAAGCCAACTTCCCGTGTGTCCTTGGGGTAAATATTCTTACGAATTTAGGTTTCTTGATTCATATTTGCAAATCCATTTCACAACTGCTAATTCCTTAGCTCCTCAAACCCGGAACCCAATAAAGGATCTGAGTCTCATAGTATTTGCTAGGAATGTTGTGTTCACTTTAGGGCTCCCTGGGGGCAATAAAACACGATAGCTTCAGAGAAGAACCACAAAGATAAAGAGAGGCTGGACAGCTGGTTGTGAGAGGAGAAATATACACCAGATCCTGAACCTGTCACTGCAGTACTGGGCAGATCGTGGCTGAGACTCGCTATTGGCAGCAGACATCACTGACCTGGAGGAGAAAAAACAAGCCCTGTGAGTTGAAGGTCCATTTTTAATTAAAATTCACTATAGGCAGTTTGTTTTCAAAAGGAAATATTACAAAATGTTAGTTTGTTGATCGGTTGCTGAGGATTCTGAAGTGTTTTCTTACTGCAACAACGTTGCACCTGGCGGTCAAGACTGCAGGGTGTCATCACAGTGTGCGTAAGGCATAATGTAGCCCAGTGTTTTGTAACCTGCTGGTGGCCTCACTGGAGGCCAGTCCGTCTTAGCATCACTAATGATTGGGCGAGCAGATATTAGTGTCCTCTGATGACATAATCTACCTGTCCAAAAATGTTTAACTTGAATCAAGACTTCAGCTATTCTTGTTACCAGGAAAGATAGGAGACAGACACACAAGTTAAACAAGTACCATGAGGAAGCAACAGACAAATCTGGGAAGTATGACATTTTACAGGACAACTAGCCCTGTCGCTTCAACAAGTCAGTCAATAACAAAGGGATGTTTTTCTAGATTAAATGAGACTTGA